AATTGCTACTCTAACTACTTATTCACAACATAGGTATCAACTCCCACGCGTTGCGTGGGACTCTTTGCTAGTATAAATAAAAATAGAAACATTTTGAGCATTTATACACCCCAACCAGGAAAAGTAAACTGCATATGAGTATGACAAATTCAATGTTTTGGCCTACCAGTTTTCTAACAAAATGCTCTATGTGTTTTTTCATCTTTTCACTTGTTTCCATTTTGTGAGTTTACCGCTGGTGCTTTTGGTGTTTGGAAGCGGGTAAGATGGCCAAATAATTTATCCTCCGGCTAGAAAAAGCAACAAAGTATCACTTATTACTTTCATAATCTTTTTCCATGAGGGGACACTTTATTATTTTTGGTAAAGAAATTCTTTGGAAAGTGATATTTACACTTCCAAATCAGCCTCTTACACTCCTTGGATGCATATAATTTAGTGAGTGAATTAGAGTACCAAAAAAAAAAAAAGGACTAAAAAGGGAGTGCCAATATCAATTCCCAATTGTTTTCTCAAAATTCACTACAGAATCCAACCTACACAACAATGAAATCTACACCAGCTGTATCAAAAATGTTTCTATCCGCAAACCCATATTGTTAACTTATCAACACATCCTATGTATGCTCAATTTTATAAACCTCTTACAAAACATGCGTGCTTAAATTTGCAATAGGCATTATTGAGAGTTTGAAAATGCAAAAGCTTTCCCGTTTGGAATTATTATTTTTTGGAGTTTTGATATTAAAAAAATGTACTGTGGTGATTTGAAATTAAAAAAAAAAGTAATTGAAAAATGTGTTCACAAAATATATAAAAAATTTTTGGAGAAAAATTACAATCCAAACATAGCAGCCTATGGTAAGTAACACTTAATGACATTTCTTCCAACAAAATTAACTCGCCCTAGTTCTACATTGATAGTGTATCTGGTTAACTTCCACAATTTTGTTTTTAAAAATTTATAACATTGCAAAAGCATGTGATGCCTTCAAATTCTAGACAAAATGCTGAAATGAGGAGTTTTTTTGGATCTCTATTTCTTTACCATCCACGAAAAAGAAAATCCAAAAATGAAGAAAGTAGACATGGCCCAAGTAACAGAAAGTCAACAAAGGTTTCTTGCATGTTCCAACTAATGGACCGTCATGGGCCATAATGATCTTAACTTACTAAACGTGGAAGCCTAGTCCTACTATATTAAGGCCCGACTAGAATGGAAAAGGCCTATGACAGTCTGACTCGGCCATGCCCGCAAAAACTTCCCGGTGCTTTCCCCTGAGCTCAAGATTTCCCAAATGGGGAATGCACTCCATCCAATATTGTTCCTCGCTCCATTTCCACTATGAGAGAATTTCACACAGTGACGGTGTAGAAAAATGAAACTCTCTCTATCTACCTCTAAAAATTGGCCCCAAATAGTAGTATAAAACTGGAAAAGAAGAAACAGATCGACTTAGAATAACTGCTACCGTAGTAGTGTTATGTTTAAGTAGTTCAAATATCTTGTCATGTGATTCCAGAACAAAAATTATGATCTAAAAATAAAAAGAAATGATGCACTTGGGCTTCATCTAATAAAATATGGTCACAACAAAAATATATATATATATATATATATTTTTTTTTTCAGACTTTTGAAGTTAGTTAATTATATTGAAAAAGGGTAAAATCAAATTGGATTTTCAAAGAAAAAGGATTTATAGTTTTACAAAATGACATAAATACCAAAATATCCCCCTTTTGATTTCTGATGAGAAACACATTTAACTGAAACTACTACCTTCCAGCAATTATAAACAATGAACCCATATAAAGAATATGCAAAAAAAAAAAAAAAAAAAAAATCCACCCAAAAAAAAAGGCAACATCCATCTAACCACACATTTCCATATATAAGAAGCTACAATTAAGTAAATTTTTGTATAAAGCAGATATACCTAAGGAGATCCATCATCATGATCACAGTTTTTAACCCAAAACCAAGAGATAGAAAAAGGTAAGTAACCAGAAATGAAGCTAGATAGAAAGAGATAATCAAACGTAAAATATATGCTGCTAGTACTGTATACAGCTGATGAATGATGATGATGCACTTAATTGTAGCTTGAAGACTTTAGGAGAGGCAGCGTTGGCAGAAGAACAACCCTTTGCCTTTAGTCCATATCAAGATCCATCATCATGATCACTTCATACCCCGAAACCAGGAGAAAGAAAAAGGTAAATATCCAGAAATATAGCTAGACATAAGAGATTAATGAGGTTCCTTCAAAGGTATATATAATATATTCTACTAGTACTATATATTTACAGCTGATGAATGATGATACGCTTGTAGTTTGAAGACTTTAGGAGAAGCAGCATCGGAAGACGTGGAGACCTTTGCTTTTATTGGTCTTGGGATCGGTAGTCTTAGGATTATTGCCAGGGAAAATGGTGACGTTCTGGAACTTAACTTCACTCTTGTACTCAGTGCTGTTGCACCCTCCAGGTTTATAGGAAGACACGTAGCTGACCTCTTCCTTAAACCCAAGTTTTCCAGATTTCTCGTCCACGAAATGTCCAGCCTCGTGGGTTTTGGTGAACTCCCTGGTTGACGTACAGATTCCTCGGTGCTCCTTGTGAACAACCTTTTTAATGGTGCTTCTAGGCTCATATGGTTCATCGTTTCTGGCCCTTGCCATGGCCAAACCATAACCATGAAATGAAGCTGCAGGGACTATTTCATTGTGCCCTCTACGCAGTGTACGGCAGTAGGGTGCATGAGGGACTATATGATGATTGTACCCATTGTTACAGTGGCAGTGTTCTTCACCCATTTTTTGGATGGATGCAGAAGAAATGGGAGAGGGATTTTTGGATGTAAGGATTCGGGATGTAGGCTGGTGTTTGCTTGTTCCTGTTTCTGTGATCAGGATTTGTTGCTGGTGCAGTTTTTGTAGTGTTCAGGACGCTATTTATGGGGAGAGACTAGGATGGTTTCTTGTGGACTTCAAAAACTGTCAGTAGTTTACAATAAATTTTGGTGTCCAATAAGAAGTACACATAAAGGTTCGTTTTGAATTAAACAAAAATTCTGAATTTTTATAATTTAAGTTATAGAAATTAAGTTAGTGGTTCGTGTTATCTATTGAGTCTTCTTATATAGAAAAAAAAAAAAAAACTTTTCATTACAGATATATGAACTGTATTTATTTGGAAAAATGTACTAGTAGTTAAGGTTAACTAGACTGGGACATGAGTAAGGAAGTGTTCTGACGATTATGTATGATGATGTCAAGTAATTTTGATGAATTTACATTCTTATCATTTACTTAGGAAAATTATTTCTAGCTCTCTAATCTTTGAGAAAAATGTGCGTATTTGTGAGTTGAGAAAAAAAAAAAAAAAGGAACAAAATTTGTATCATGATACTCTGGAACAAAATTTGTTTGGTACCAAAAAGTGGATTCTGTGGTCTAACCTTGCTGACCATTTCATGTAGTCAGGAGCGTAAAGACTTACATAGTTTAGCTTTTGGAACTCTGTGCTTATTAGTTGTGTATCGTTCGTGTTATAGACTAGTGTTGAACTTAGTTTTGCAATAATAAGGATGACTAGAACCGCCAAGGATTCCTGGTATCAGATAATTGTCCAAAAACCACAATTTGATCCACTGGAAATATTCTCAATGCACGTGCTAAAGACTTCACAAGGTACAATCCAGAAAATTGGAGTTAGTAACATGGTATTGCATGGGAAAGGAGTCTAATCTAATAGATCAGAGGTTGGAGTTCTTTGCCAAATGGCATATCCAAATGACTGCTTTGTAAGTTGCAAATATGTAGAACAAGAATATGCACCTTGCTTAGCTATGTGACAAGTCATGTGTACTCAATTTCTATAAATCCACTCAAATCTGCCCATGTCACATTTTACTTCTTTCCCCAACCGAATTAGAACCATTCTTTGCACAATACACCCACCCAAGAACCACTTTATTTCCTATATGTTACCTCTCTCTCTCTATTAAATGTTGGACATTTGCTAGATGCTTCTAGTTTAGTACCTGAAGGGTGTAAGTGGTACAAAGTGCTTGTGATAATATCTTGTACAGGGGCCTTGGTCTTTTTCACCTCAAGTGTAGAAGTGCTTGTTACCAGATTTAATTTTCTTGTGCATAGCGTTCCTGTGCTCATCTCAAATTGTGATCTTTGTGTAAGTTTAGTAATGGGAAAAGGTTACCTTATTTTGATTTCAGACCTCTAAGAAGCTGTGAGATGATCGTCTTAGTGTTTTCAATTTTTTATGCTGAGATTATGTGACAGATGTTACAGACTTAAGATAGTGGTTTTGGCAAGAGTAGAATTAGGAAAATTTTATATTAAAGTGCAAGGTTAGGAGTTTTTTGAGTTGTTTACAAGAAAAATAGTACCACGTAACAACAAATGCCATCTTCCATTTAGAGTGTATAGTTTTTTTTTTATTTCTCAGTCTATTTTTGGCAAATGGTGTATTACTCGAAGATAGTACTGCAGATCTACAGAGGGCTTGGCAAACATCTAATATGTACCTTTATCGCATTATCTATAGTTGTCTCTTTTCTGCTAGTTAATACTATTTGTACCTTTATAGAAAAAAATTGTGTAGTTCTTATGTAAATCCTGGAAACTACTTCCGATTGCTATAGGCATTGGTTTAAAACCTATATTCCTCTGCATTTTAGATACAAAATCTGCAAACTTTTTATTGGTTTTGAAAAATATTTGCTAGTTAAATGAACTATTATACATCTGAGATCTTCAATGTTACAATGAAAATATGTCAATTTAGTATTACTACCCAATGACATATGCCACTATGAGCTTTTTGGACGTGTACCAAGCTTGCTTCTTCTTCTTGATATTCATGAACAAATGTTTCTCTACACTGGTCTCTCTCTGCCATTATCCTGTAGACACTTTGTTTCCGTAAACACTCATGTACAGGCATGGTACTTTTACGTCAATTTGTAACTCTTGCACCAACTCTTTCACAAGTACTCCTGCTCTGTTCTCAGTGCTGCAGATTGGAGATATGCTGCTGAACAGTTTGTGAAAAGAGTTCCTGACAAAATTATTGTTCATCGTAAGTTAAGCTTTTTCAAAAATGAAAAAGGTTTATTTTTTCTATTTTTGAATAAATTCTTCATGTTATAATATCCTTGCTTAAACAGGTTTCAGAAGATTTTGCGCTTTGTTTGATGTTGCAATTGGTTTTGAAATGCTTAAAGTTGTTTCTGAACTTGGTTGATTGGTTATCCCACCCCCCCCTTTCCTTTGGTGATAATAATAGTTGATATGTTATTTTTTACTTGAGACGCAGAGATTGGAGTTTTGGGGTTTACATAATATACAGATTGTGTTTCTATTTGCTTTAGCCAATATCGTGTTTAGTAGTTATCTAGTTCTCTTGTTGGTTTTGCTGATAACAGATGCTTTTCTTCTGTAAGGTCTTAAAATTTTGTTTGACACTCAATTTTCTTTAGGAAAAGTTTTGTTGTTCTCTTTCTTTTTCATTCTGAGAATTATTGGAATGTGTAGTGATGTTTTTTCCGTTAGCTTTCCATTTCAAGTTATACTTAACTTTCTTTAGGAAAAGGTTAATTATTCTTTTTCTTTTGCAGTTTTTTCTGGAATGTGCATTGATATTTCTATCTTCATGGAAGATGATTAAATTATAGAGAAATGTGATTATATTGTAGCTTGATGTATACCAGGTAGTGAATGCAATACTTCAAAGCTGACTTTTGATGGTGTTGATTTGATGGGGGAGAGATTAGCTGAAGAGGTATTTTGCTAATTAGCATTTATCATGCTTCCATTTTTGTTGTATTTCTGGTTACTGGAACTTAGTTTAGTAGAAAAAAGCTATACTTTGACACCATAATATCTAGAGACTGATACACTTCTGTCCTTTATAGTGCAGGTGGTCAATGTTGTAAAAAATTGGCCTGGCTTACACAAGATCTCTTTTGTTGCCCACTCATTGGGTGGCCTTATTGCTAGATATGCCATTGGAAGATTATTTGAACTTTCTGCTAGGATTGGAAATGCTGACCAAAATGAGCCCTCTTCAGTATTGGAAGCAAATAATTCTGCAAAACTCCATGAACTATGTTATGAAGCAAGGATTGCTGGACTGGAGCCTGTAAATTTTATAACATTTGCAACTCCGCATTTGGGTTCCAGAGGACATAAGCAGGTTTCTTCTGTTTTGATATTGTTTCCTGTTGCAAGTAAATTAACTTCCTTTTGTAGTATGTTATTGTGTATAGCTGCTTTTCTTCTGTGGTTTTGTATCAATATTCACCTATTAGAATTGATGAGAATGAATATGGCTCTTGGTCTCCTGATATGATAAAATCGCAAACAGGTTTGAGATTATGCGTATCAAATCAAATTGTGGATCTTAAAATGAGGGTTCAATTTACATCCTGGTGGTATCTGCAAAATTTGCACGCTAGCACTTCCTCAAAGACTTTATCATTCAGACTGACTCAGAGTCCATATATGTGCCTTAAAAACAAATCTAATGTGTTGCACTGTTGAAGCCTTTTCTTTGATATTTTTTTGTCTCTCTGCTTCATCAGCTCCCACTACTTTGCGGTCTTCCTTTCTTAGAGAGAAGTGCATCTCAAACTGCACACTGGATTGCAGGGAGATCTGGTAAGCATTTGTTCCTAACTGATAACGACAATGGAAAGCCTCCTCTCCTCCTTCGGATGGTTGAAGACTCGGATGACCTCAAATTCATGTTTGTACTAAACTTCCATAACCTGATTCTTGATAAGCAATAGTGAAGGAAAAAAGAAGATTATCATCATGATTTGAATAACATCATTTATGACTTATACAGGTCAGCTTTGCAAGCTTTCAAGCGTCGTGTGGCATACGCAAATGCAAACTATGATCGTATCCTTTGTTGGATTAATCCACACTTTGCAAGTCAGATTTTTCCTTTTTATACACAGAAGTTCCTTTTTATACACACTTTGCGTCTTGTGGTCTACCTTTACTGATCTTAAGATATTGTTGGCTGGAGAACATCATCAATCAGACGCCAGGATGAACTTCCAAAGGTGCTTCGCTGTCTCTTAAATTGATTTATGTCTGTCGTACATTTCAACTTCCATCAACTGACTGAACTCTCTTTCTATCTAGGCTAAACTTCTTCTGAAAAATGAGAAGTACCCTCACATTGTTCACGTTGATCAAGGAAGCATGGAAGCCAATAATAGCAGATCATTGTCCATGGTCGGAACAGAAGTAATTGATTTGGAAGGTGCTTTGGCTTTCCTGTGACTGTACATTGTTTTGCCATTTTTACTCATCCTTGATGTCCACTTGTGCCAATATTCAAGTTCTCTTATGTCACAGTTATGAAGAAAGACAAAGTTTCCCATGTTTTTGCTTTTGAGTGTATACGCTCAAGGATAGTTGCACAAGAAGATCTGTAATATTGAAATTTCAACTTTCTTCAAGCCTAAAATGCATTGCTGATTCAACTATGGGATAGGTGGGAATGATCAATAAATTTGTTTCTCTTAGGATACACTGGACAATGTTTCTCTTACTGGATTAATAAACTTGTTCATGTGGAGTAGTGAAAGATTCCAAATATGTTCCTTGGGGTTCTTATGATAGAGGAGAGGAAAAGAGGGAGGAGCAATGGGGTGGGAGCAAGAGTCCTACCATCCTTGTTTGTTCAAAGAGGTGGGGAAGCATGAAAAGTCTCAGATTCTTATGATAGAGAACAACGGAAAAGAGGGAGGAGAGATTGGATAGGAACAAGGTAATTTTAGATGGGGAAGTGTGGAAAAGAGGGCGGTCAGATTGATATGGTGATGGTTTTTTTTCCCATCCATTGTTTTCATTTTCCTTCCATTTTTTCCCCCTTTTTTTTCATTTTTTTTTCTTCAAAGAGCTAAGAGCTACAGGTGTTTGGTGTCACTTGGCTTCTTGAAAATAAGCATCCTTGTTTTGTGAAAGTTTTTATTAATGAGTATAAACATTGTTTGAATACTAAATAATTAATGGGAGAGGATCACTTTGGTTGTAAGATCAATCTTCTATCTTATTATCTTGGTCCTTTGATGTCACCAGAAATTAGAACACAATTACAATAATTTAGGTTGGTATGATCAAATAGAATATCTCATTTAAGAGCAATGAGTTATAAAATATTTCCCATCTTCTAGTAGAAGAATTTGGTCATATTCCTTCTGTCTGCGTTAATGGTGATATCATAAATACTTACTGAAGAAATCCATATTCTGGAAACTTTCATGTGCACCATTCTTGTAGAAGGTAGAGTTCTGACATTCTGTCTCTCACAGAAGCAAAGAACGATGGCATGAATTTTTTGGTTTTGTCAATTGTCGGGCATAGACAGTGTTCTTTTCTAAATATGGCTATGTTTTCTGTCACTTGCTGAGATTTATAATGTATCTTTAGGCTTAAAAGTAAATTTGAATTACTGAACCATCTCTGTGGCCCCTTCTTTGTGATGCTCTTGCAGCACTATAAGTAGCAGTTTCTTAAAAATATAAAAGCAGATATACATGTTACTTTTAATGCTGTTCTCTAATGATGATGTTGCAGGAATAGTCACACAAGTTCAAATCAATACTATATGCAAACGGACTTTTGCTTCCCCTCCCCCTTTTGTCTGTATATAATGGGTCAGTCCATTGTGATAAATGTTGTAAAGTAAATAGTAGATCATATTGCTAAGATGATGTTGAAGAAAATAAAACATAATCATCCAAATACATGCTTGGTTTAGTTTTTTTCCCCACAACAAATGACAGATTGCTAACATACTTTAGATCGAACTATATTTAGTGTCTTTTTTGGGGTTGTGAAGAAAGATTCTTGCTTGTGGATTAAATGTATATAATAATTAGTCATAGTAGTGAGAATGTTATGCATTAGATGCTACTTAGCTTTTGGACAAGAAGTTTCTTTTTTATTGTCGGTCCACCTTTAGTCTGACTAGCAGTTAAAGCTAAAGGATTGGCAATAAAGATTGTCACCCTTTGTGTATATGTATGCATAATAGTATGTACATTGTACATATATATATGTTTTTAACAAGGCATACACGTGCTTCCTTGTCTGCTTGTTATCTGTTTCATATATTTTAAGACAAAAAATTTCAATTCTGGATCTGATGCAAGCCTGCATTTTGTGCACGCAGAGGAGATGATTAGAGGCCTCACTCAAGTACCTTGGGAACGTATTGATGTTAGCTTTCAGAAAAGCACACAGCGATATGTTGCACACAATACCATTCAGGCAAGCTTTTAAACTTGATTGTTATGGTAGTGGTAGTTATGATTGCCTTTTGTCATAAGCTAGGAACATTTGATGTGGATAAAGCACTATAGCTTTTAAAAATCAGAGGCTTGTAGAAGTAAATATGCAATTATCGCACTCAGAGTTTTACTAAATCATCATCATGTTATCCTGTTCTTGGAGTTGTACTTACAGAAATATTCCAATAATTGATATCAACCTAACTTGGACATGGAAGTGTTGTATACTGTCAACAAGAATCACTTGAATAATTTAGGAATGACAAAGCATAAAAAAACACGTTGCTGTCTATCAATGACAAGGTGAAACAGTCTGTTGCCATAGGACTCTGATATAGTATGACTGTTTTCCATATCATTTGGGGATTAGCATGCCCGATAACTTTTTAGAGTAAAAGCATGAGAATGCGTCTACAGGCCTATGGCATAGGCTGTTTGTCAAGATCACTTAGTTGTTTCTTCTGGCTAATGACTTGAGCTGGATTTGGCTCAGTAGTTTCTTGCGCTTATATCTTGGAATGGTTCAAATTTGGGTCACTCGAATATGTAGTTCGTTTTAAGCCCAATGCATTTCTTGCTTCTTTCTTCCAGCTATTGAGTAAAAACTTCTAAAAGGATGAAAGCTGTAAGTCAGAGGCAAAAGTTAGATTTGGTTTGTTATATAGGTAAGGTTTGTATTATTTCCAGGAGGTGTTGGCTGACAATTGATGCTGGCATGTGTTTTTTTTTCTCTTTCTTGGCTTTGATCAAATGACATTTTTACCACTCTAATGCAGGTCAACCGGTATTGGTTGAACTCGGATGGGGCTGATGTGGTTCAGCATATGATAGATAACTTCATTGTCTAAACAATTGACTCCTGGATACTTCTTTTCCGTGTACATTGAAGCCTTGCAAGTGTTTATTCAAGTGATGGGTTAGGTTGCTTATCTCTGTTCGATCGGCCGCATTTTTACATGCCCTCAGTCTGTTTTGTACATATTGTCTTGGACTGTGAAATGTGGTTAATTAGCATCTCGGTCGTACATTCGATGCTCAGTCCTGGCTGCTGTTCGTGAACAATTTTGCATCTTCTCATTACGGCCTAAGTTGCAGCTGAAATAGAAGATCTTCGCCTGGAGCCTTAAGGTTCTAGACAGAAGGGTAGAGAGTGGAGAGTTACTTTTCACTAGATATACATGTGGTTAGCAGGCTGGGAAGCATACAACTAGTCCCTTGTCCAGCTAGATAGAAGAGAAGGGAGAAAAAATGCATGACGCCACAAGAAAATTTTAATTACAGAACTATTGAATTAGCGGCTGAGCATCTTTGGATGGTCATTTTCGCTGCTAAAAGGATGTGTGGACAATTATTTCCTCCATCCGCCACAAGAACTATTGCAATTAGCAGCCGAGCATCTTCGGATGATCATTTTCGCTGCTAAAAAGGATGTGTGGAAAATTATTTCCTCTATCTCATATCTCATTACTTGTGGTATTGCATGAGCGTCCCTGTATTTATATAACCTAAATATTGACCTAGTATGGAAGAGCTTCGTTTTTTACTGCTCTTTGTTTACAGATGTCTCTTGTTTTCATCCACTTGGTGGTTGTAGAGCTGCTAATTGGCGTACTAGGCCACCGGTAAGATTTGTAAAAGGACTTTGGAAAACCCTTTTCTTTTTTTCTTCTGTAACTAGGAGTTCTGCATATTTCTATGAGCTGCAAACAGAAAGCTCTGCTGGGGCCTTCCATCGTTTCCTGATTTGAAGTTGCTAGTCCTACATCAGTGCTAAGTTTTACAAGAAGTACTATTTATTTTCTCTGCATCCAAATAAAGGGATTTGATTCTGTGTTTAAGCCGTGCGCTTCCATGGTAACAAGGAAAAGGAAAAATCAGTTGATTCTGTGTTTGAATACCCATTATTACAAGTCAAAGTATTGAACCACCAAAACTTTTTGAAGTCTATCATTACGATATTTGCACCCAACCTGCTGTTCTACCAGTTTTTGTCTTTCTGAAAGAAGTTTGTTCTCTTTCCGCCGATATTAATAGATACCTAGAGGGATTGGCAAATGATATTAGCACTTCAAAAAAAAATCCTCTTGCACTCCATTCCTTTTTTATGCGCCTAAAGGGAGAGGGATGGAGTGCAATAAATTTTTCTAAAAGCGTCAATAAACATATAAAGTTCGACAGTTCTCACACTTGTGCTTGCTACGTTCACTTACCAAATATTTTTTTCTTTTAAATAGGAATTGAATTTCACGCTACTTGATAAAAAAAAAAAAAATTATATGTAGTTTACCTAACAAATTTTATTGATATTTGTCGAACGATGAATCAGGGCTGGCAATAGCCCTTAAGATAGCCAAAGCTGCGTGGTTACACCGTCTGCATCAGTTGATGGTGCAACGTATTTCTGATTGGAGAGGAGAAAATGGTTTCCGGTTGAGCCCAGCCTGTGGTGTAAGAGGTGTAGGTAATGATGCGTCATTAACAAATCCAATTTCGACTAAGATGCATTTTATCGGCTTAAACTATACCTACGTATCGTTTTGTACCTCAGATGTAACTGTATAAAAATTGCTCCCTCATCAAATAACTCTTAAATGGTTTGGTTGCAAGTAATTATTATTTTGACCGAATTCACAAATGCCGGGCACAATATTAATTGACTAATGCTGATTTCTTGAACCAAATATAGAAGCATGGGGAAAAATAATTTATTCTTTCTCCATTGGCTTCGATACATTAGCAACGTCAGAATCTATCTGTATAGAGTTCAGAGTTGAAGGAAGAAGATGAAATTGCTTTCTGCATAAAATGTCATGGTAGCCACTTAGGCCTCTCCTTGTTGTTTAGGGATTTCCTCAACTTCAAACATTTTCAACCATGCTGGTGATTGAAGTTCTGTTTACCATTTGAATTAGTTGTGGATACAGGATCTTCAGTAATTGTGTTAAGAGGATCTTGAGCAGGCACTTGATACTGAGTCACTTCAGATGGCATGTCTAGCTCTTCTGCCAGCAGACTTGATAAACTTTTGCAGAACTGGTAAAGCATGATTAGATTACTAGAATAAGTAATCTATCTGGTTATCAAATGGTTTTAAGTTTAGGTCTCAACATACACAGGAGCGTAATACTACTACCTCTTTGTACAATCCCAGCTCCCCTGTTGATTTTGATACTTGTACAACACAATGTTGAGGGGCCACCTCGATAACCTAACATTTGAAATAACACAATTTATGAAATCCTTAACATGATCCCTGTACACGAAGCATAGCATGAGAATTTACCTGGGCTGAGAGGTCAAGACAGGATCTTGAACATCTAGTCATCTTCCGCCGGTGCATTTTCATCTGAAATTATTTATAAAGGACTTATTTTCACTTGAAATGCATGAAACATTCTCTTGAAAGGTCTAGATTTTACCTTTGAGTGGTTCATCATTTCAACTGCCAGATGCACATCCTTTGCAGCAGCCTCAATTTTCTCTATGGTTTCATTGACTGTGTGTCTAGATCCTATTGTTTTTTTCTCCTTTTCATTTCCCTATTATGCAACAGAAACGTCTGTGACTTTTTCAATGGAGGGGGAAGCATTCATAGGATGAGCCAGCTTGAGTTTTGACGTGTACTTGCCTTTTCTTCGAAGAGTCTTGACAAATCTAGGTCATTTGACATTGCTATAAGCTGGAAAGCATTTATGAAACTCGAGGCACGGGGGACACTCACTTCTGTCTCAGTTTCCTATACCAAAATCAATTGATTTAGCAATGGCTTATCACTTTCTTGTTCTCAGTGTTGCTATATTTGTTTAGCCATTACCTTGAGTGAAGTGAATGCTTCATGAACATCATCCACATTGATATCCTCTTCCTGCCCTATTTCCTCAGCTGGCTCATAGTCCATCTGAAACCAGTGATGGTCAACGATTTCTGCTATAGTTATTCGCTGCAAATCAAGAAAAGAATTACCTTTGTTCCTCATATTCTTGGCCTAAATTTTTATCCTGCTATTTTGAAACTTACAGTTTTTGAGTTTGGATCGAGCAATCTAGAAATGAGCTGTTTTTCACCTTCTGTGAACCGCTCTGGAAATGCAAATTCTGCTTTATATATCTGCACTGCCAGCCAAAGGTAGTTACTCTGTGAAGTTCTACTTGGCCTGTGGTTTCTGTTGCAAAATTTGGAAGTCATCATACCTTTCTGTACAAGTTTGTCAGGTTAGAGTCGTCAAAGGGTAAATATCCAGCCCGCAGTTCAAAAAGTATTACTCCACAGGACCAAACGTCTGCAGCTGCTCCATCATAGCCGTTATCAGTTAAAAGCTGTTCATCAAAGACAAAGTGTTTGTCACAGTTGGAGGGAACTTTACCTCCATCCCATCAGGAAATTATTCCCGGCTTTTTCACACAAATTTTTGACATCCGTTTTAGGTACACCTTTTAGTTTCAGATTTTCACCCGAAAGCAAATTCTTCAACCGGAAAGAAAAAAGTAACACTTGCCTCTGGTGCTACATAGCTTGGAGATCCGCATGCAGTAGAGAGTAGGCTTCCTGGTTTCTGAAGTAGAGGATCAGCTAACCGTCAGTTAAATCTTAAAAAGAGCTGGGGCAAAGGATAATATGGAGAGGTCACTTTAGACAAAAGTATCCTACCTGTTTTAGTGCACTAAGGCCAAAATCTGACACTTTCACATTTCCTTTGTTGTCCAGAAGCAAGTTTTCTGGCTGCAAGTAAAGAATATGCAAGATTACATATATCTGCATTTAGTATCTTGACTAGAAATCAGAAAAGGATGTGAGAAGTAATCCATGCTAACCTTTAGATCTCTGTGATACACCCCTCTACAGTGGCAATGATCTACAGCATCAATTAGCTGCTGGAAGTATTTTCTTGCTTCTCTTTCGCTTAACTTCTTCAAATAAGACTGAGATAAGAAATGGCATGGACTTTAGTCTTGAATGACTCGTTTCCATGGATAGTAATTACTGCCACTAGGTAAAATGTGGTCTTTTTGAAGCTTACCAGCTTATCAGAAAGCTGTCCCCCTGACACATACTCCATAACAATGTAAATTTTGGTTTTTGTGCCTAGTACCTGAAATTAGAGATCAACTACTGGTAATGAATGGATAATTGATTAGCATCCCATGATTGATTCAAAAGAACAAACCTCGTAAATTCTAACTATATTGGGGTGATGTAGAAGTTTCATCGTCCTGATTTCTCTCGACACCTAGATGAAAATTTTAGACTTAGAGATAAAACAAAAATGCAAAATAGAGAAAGCTCAAAAACTGTAAACTAAAGATAGACAAATGTAGTTGATATGCTGGTAAAATTACCTGTTGCATCAAGTTATTTTTCAAGACCATTTGCTTGTCAATGATTTTGATTGCTACATATTGTCCATTGGTTGTGTTTATGGCCAATTTCACCTTGGCAAAGGAGCCTTCTCCAATTGTTCTGCTAAGCTGATACTTGCCAATCTTGTCGGAGAATCCCATGCTTCATGAGGAGAAAAACCAATGCCTATCCCTCAAGATATTTATTTCCAACAAAGGCTGCAGCTTCTTTTCCCTGAACTCCCTGGAAATGTTTGATCGTCCCCGTGTGAAGCACCTGCACTTCCAGTCTTTCGATGTATTCTGAGAATGATTGATTAAAACCCCGTTCTTGTGGCTCTGGCAGTTTTAAAGAAGAGGGCCACAATTTTTTATGTTGAATATTTGTTCTTACAAAAATTTAATCAAATTTGAACTCTGTCTCCTTTGTGCATGACGCAAAGAAGGGTGGATTGACCTGCATGCTGGCTGGCTGGTTGGTGAATGAGAGAGATGGGAGTTTGAATGGAAGGTGAAATGAGTTTGTGATTCCAAATGTATCCTTTTCCTTCAAACTAACCCTCTGGTTGCCGGTGGGAGTAACTTTGTGGGAAACAAGCCTGGTAAACCAATAAACCAGAAGCAACATCTGACAAACTTCCAAGCCTAATGGATTAGAGACCACATGCACCATGTCAACGCATGATTGGTTTCTCGTCTGTTATTTTTTTTCTTTTAAACTTTCAACAGTCAAATTGAAAGCCCAGAAATTTCAACCTAATACTGTATACTTGTTTTAATTCTGCCAGTCCTTCAGAGATTAGAGAAGGTTAGGTGAAAGTACTAATTTCCTCCGACTCCAATAACGTTATTGGCACCGACAGTGCTTTGGGCTGGTGATCAACATCAAGAACTCAAGTTTTAGTGGAGTGAAAGGTCAATAGTTTAACTCTTGCCTCCCATCAATTTGCTACTATATATTCTATATATAACTGTCACGTTTAATGACTTTTTCCGATGATGATTTAACTCGCACTAGTATAGATTAGATTATAGATAACGTTATTGGCAGATAATTTGTGAAGATAACGAGTCTTAGCGAAATCCGAAGCGGGGGTCCTTGCTGAGTTGAGCATCTCTCTGGGGCTAGGCCTCTCTACTTCGTTTTCCACATTATCCTGTTTTTCGGCTGGGGCAACATTGAAAAACGTTGCACTTAAAATCATCTAGTCATTCTTGAAATCCAAGAGCCCAGGACAAAGTTTCTCTGGATTTGAGGCTTTTACAATTGTCGTCCCAGTTATCTGAAACAATATGTAAACACTACTATGGCAAATATAATAATATGAAAAACTCGACAAGTTTTGACATCCCTTGAAATGTGTAT